GCAGACATGAGTTTCAGCACTTCACCCGAAGTTTGGCCTTTGCTTGGCGAGCCCCACTGGCACAGACCCTGTGAGCACTGCAGGAGGAGTAAGGAGGTTACCATGGCCTTGCATGTTGAAACCGAGGCAATGCATGCGCAGCGAACAGGAAGGAGGAGGTTCGATGCAACCACCAAGCCTGCTGGCATGAGGCGACCCACACCATGATCACACAAGGGTAGTGAATGATACAGCATGATTGGGCAGGTTTCATTCAACCACCACACCGAACATGTTACTCACTGGGCATCATGTTGTTTGTGCCACGATGATGCAAGTGTAGTGAAAGCTAATCATGGTGTAGAAAGGTTTGATGCATACCGTTTGTGGCATTCATGGCCTCGTGCTTGAAGCGAGTGGCCAGCTGGTCGTTTGCCCTCCAGCGCTTGCCAGGGCTGGCTTTCAGGCGCCGTGGCACGGCCACGGCCACCGGCTGCGCCAAGAGGGACGGCGCCAGTCTGGACTCCCTCAGATGTTTCGGAATGAGACCCAGTAAGAACATTACTGATTACTGGCGACAGTGCTGGCTGAGTAGCTTCACACACGGGCCAGCAACCGAGTGCCTCTCCCAAAGGCATGTGCCCTGGCTGCTGGCAGAGATGCTACCTGATGCCATTGTGTGCGATGCTGAGCGAAACGCAAAAAGCCTGCGCATATATGAGCTGCAGCTCCAAGCCCGAAGCTTGGAGACACACTGGATGCGATGGTGCTGTCAGAGCCTGGCAAAGGGGAGAGCGCTTTGAATAGGAAGCATATGACTATGACAGATCGGGGCCTAAGCTGCGACATGCGACTGGAACACGGTGCACAGGCCAGGCTTTTTCCTGACGGGAGAGAAGGTTTTGCAAATGGCAGCTCCACGCAGTGCAGCACTACTCCAGCCTTCGAAGGCTCTGCCAACTCGGTTTCGAGCTGTGACGCCAAGCGCAGGAAGGCTGCTCTGCCCAAGCGAGCTGCGACGTCACCTGGGTCGTTCAAAGCGCTCCAACTTCGTTGCTCACACGGCAGTTTGGGCACGGGCCAGAAAGCGGCTTGACTCCAGCCTCGTGTCGTAACATTCAGACCCAGGCGAGCTCTAGCTTTTCCCTTTCCACATCCCAACTCCCTCTATAAATCGTTCAACATCGAAGAATCAAACGGACACCCCTTCTGCCCGAGCTGTTGGCCAGGGACCCTAACCTGCGAAACTGCTGATGTTTTTGAAAACGCTGCTGACTCCACAAGATGAGAAGCCCCCAACAAAGTGGGCAACACACAGGACTGCAAAGCAGCTTGAACCTAGTCATTTCCCTGGGCATGCAACCACACCTTGTGCCTCTCATCAACGCCCTCTAACAGAGTGGTTTCGAACACCCTTATGTAGATTCCAGGCAAAAAAAAACACTTCCACCAGCCCCCCCAGAGAAAAGCCATGGGACAAAACCTCTTCCGCAACCCTTCCGCGAGCATGGTGTCAAAGCTGTGTTTCCGCAACTTCTTGGGCGGATAAAACTGCAGCTTCTGCGCCCTTGCGGGCAGTTGTTTCCGCCCGTTGTACTACCTCCAGTATCGAGGGTTTTAGGAGCCGCTCAAATGAAAGTGCAGCCCTCCACCTTTGTGGCGATCATACCTTCATGGGCAACATCCTCCAAAGGAAGGCATATCTTGCCCATGATACAGGCTCTGCGCTCACGACGTTGCCAGGTTCTGCTGCTAGCTACGCATTCTGCATGTGATGTTCAGCCACCGCCTGATGCTGACATTCTCCTACAAGCTCTGCATACATCGTCCGGGCTGCTGCGGGCTCAACAGCTGAGGCATACGCGTACCAGCACGCAATCTTATGCACTTTCTCCGAGCCATGCTGGGAAGTCTGATGTCTGGACCCTTCCATATTTTTCAGCCAAGAAGCTTGTGGGGCTACTGCTGCTTGGTTGCACGCTTTCTGCAGCATGGCAAGCCAGTCGCCTGCACAAGGAATCCTAAGACTCCTATGAATGTCCGCCAAGTTCTGCACGTTGAACCTGGCGACCAGCTGACGGCTTCCAGGCCGTGCGTCGCAAGCATTCGCAAGCCAAAGCACCGCACCTCCTGCAAAGGACCCAGGGCTTGGCCTCCAAACCAGAGGCTTCCCAAAAAGACAAACCGCCTTCGCGGTCCACTGCTCGCCTCCCTCGCAGCTGCAGCATCAATCACTTCCACTGGAGGTTTGGCACGCGCGACCAGTGCCTCCAGCGACGAAGACCGCCGCACGAAGTCCACAGCCTCCTGTAAAGCCAACTCCTTGGCCATCTAGCGGGCACAAACCGGAGCCACTGAGCGTGCTTGAACATCAGCTCACACCAAACGCTTCGGATAAAGAAAGGGGCCTCTTGAAATTGAATCATCCCCACCCTGTCCCTACCAAAAAAATGTTGTCCTGCTCCGAAGGATGCTTACCAACACACTTTTCAGTTCGGGCATGATCCTGTGCGAGCAGCACTGTTTATACGTGCGAGACTTGAACTCGCAATCGGAAAAGTGTGTGCTGGAATGTCGACCCGTGCTTCATGTGCAGCCACCCCGCTCTCACAAAAGAAGAGCCTAGCACATGTGTATGTAATACATGTTGTTGAGAGGATCTCACATGCATTAGGAGGCTGTCTGCGGACTGCTTTGTCCTCCTTCGTGGTCTTGTGGCAGGGCACGGTGGATTCAGAAGGCCACCTCTTCAGCGCTTCTCTGATGATGCTCAGTTGCCGCATGCACCTGGCACACCCCTGCAGGAGATTTCCAACTCATGGGCAGCAGTCCTGCCTTCTCCGGTCTTCAGCCACCAACCCGCTGGGCACCAGCCGCTTGGGGGATTGGCTTCGGGCTTGGCCTGTGTCTTGTCCGAAGACCGTCGGTATTTTGCAGTTCTACTTCTATGACTGAGTCCCACCACACAAGCAAACTAGCATTGTGTCTTGTCACTTCAAAGACATCCCTTTAGTCCTCTTGCGGAGCAGCAATGATGGCCTGCATCTCGCATGTTCAAAGTAATGAATCGTTGGGCGGGCGGTGCCGATGCTTGCGTAGCCTCATGCACATTGCTCTGCGACACGCAAGTCTTGCACCACAAGAGCTGAATGACAGTGCTCAAGACATCATAAGAGACGGGCTTGAATATACCTGGGCGAGAGTGCTTCCCTTCAAAAATCTCACTTAATAAAATTGCTTCAGCTTGGCCTCAAAGGTGGCGGCTGTGAGCAAGCCCGCATAACTTGTATAGGCCTGACCGTGTTGCCAACATGCTTAGTGCAACGTTGGATGCTACTCTAGCTGCCTGGCAACTTCTACCGGACGCACCCGAGGATAGCCTGACAATACTCTAACAATGCTCTTGGCTGGAGGAGGTTGGCTGAGAGCAAGGCAACCGCTGCATCGAGCCGTTAGTGAGGCATGTGATGAGACGGCTCCACCGGAGTCTCAGCGTCAGCATTGTCGCAGGTCATGGAATGGCGGAAGCCGCGCGTTCCCCATGTAGAAAGCGGCCTGTAGAAAGTGGCCCCTGAGTCCCAGGCTGTGCACTTCTTTGGCGCAGCAGGATCTCGGCAGAGCCTCTTGCCATCCAAATGGTCCATCTCACTGTAAAATCCTACCAGTAGAACCACCAATTCAGGCCCGCACATGGTTTGGCTCGGGCGATGCCTGAGGGAAGCAGAAGAGAGGCTGACTTGGGGCTATTGGACGTTCCTTCAATTGGTGCAGCTATCGCCTTCATGCAACGCAGCGATGCTGCAGAGGCGCGGAATTGGCAAGGCTCTGTTTGACCTAAATACTAAGAGGTTACACAAGCAATGGCACACCGGCGCTTCTGCTAACACAATTTCAGCAAATGCTCCGATGTCGTTGCCCGATGTATGTGACATTTGCAGCGGCATGCAGCGGTCAGCTTTGTCAAGTTCCTAACTACGCACTTTGGTGCTTGAGCCGGGGCGGTGTGTCGTGTCATGCGCAGCTACTCAAGATGCGGAGCTACCTTGTCGAAATTCCCAGAACACCGGATCCGAAGCAGTGCAGTTTCCCTTTCGGCTATCCGACCTACTGCAGCACTGAGGGTAAAGGAAGAAAGGTCACGTCGCCCCATTTGGTGCCCCTCCATCGCTCTCCCTTTGCTCAAAACGCATGCCATGAGGCCATTAGATCAGAGAGGCATAGTCTGTCTTTCGCCAGAGCTTCAAGGAAGTATCTACGATCATGAAGCAAGCCTAGAGGCCGAGACATCAAGATGATTCGAGATGCATTAGCAAAAACCTTCCTGGACATCATGATGACACTAAGGGCCACGGGTGTCGCAAAGATTTTGTCTTGTTGAGCCTTTTGCTGCCCTAGTTTTCCCTTAGTTCTCATCAGTACACGCGGAAAGGTGGTACATGTGTTACGAAGCTTTAGGGAAAGGCCGCTGATTCCAGAATGACTCCAGCGCTACCCACGCAAGAGTCAGGTGATTTCACAAATATAAGATGCTTCGAGCAACTGCTGAGCCACTGACTTGAAAATTCCAACGATCAGCTGTGAGGTGCGATCCTGCGTTTCCAAGAAAAACTTTCTGGAAGAATGCGGCGCAGTCTACTGCGTTGCACCAACAGCATAGCACACCCCAAGCGGGCTTGCATGTCCTGATCTTCAGCCATTGCATCTGCCTCTTGAGTCTGCATGCAAGAGCCTCATGATAGTAAATGCTTAGCACTTCCAGCCTTCTGGAACAAGACATTCGAATGGCTCAATGCTTCGGAGCCCAAGTGTCAACAAATCTGCAGGTTGAAGGTCTCAGCGCTCTGGCACTGGCTGACTGCAAAGGCGCTGCTGACGTGCGACTCAGAACTTGGTTGTTGCGCAAGCTGCTTTCGCTGCGTTCCGGCCTGTTTTCAGCCTAGTGAAACTGTAAATACTGTAGTTAGTAAACTAAGACACTACGCCTCACTACACATTATCATGCTGTTCCACGGCTCTTTCTGTCACCCTACCGGGATGGGGTCTGCTGCATCACTCCGCGGCGACTCCAGGACCTGCCGTGACCCGCTCATGCAATGCTTTTTGATATGCTGCCTGGTGGCCCTGCGTCTGCCCGTCCTGCACTTCAGGATGCGCCATCTCAAATTTGTCCAGATCAGACAGCACCTCTCCCGGCGATGCGAAAAACACGGGTGAACGACGGAAATCCAACTTCATATTCAGAAGCCAGGGCACGGAGTGCAAGATGTGGGTTTCCACAGTTTGCCGTCCCTTCTCCAACAGCCTGCACTTTTTTACGCACAGTCGCAGGGAGCAGTGGGATGCTCCTGCCGCTGCCTGGGTACAGAGAGGGCGTCATGTGATGGCAAAGGGTCCTTCGGCAAGCGCAAACCAAACGAGAGCTCTGAAATCTTTGACAGCTCAGAACGCTTGCCGATTGGCTCATGCCCCAAGCTGGCCATGAACCCTCTGTGCCTACACCTCCGCTCCGCTCCTGAAAGTGCTCTGCGCGGGTGCCAAACTCTTCCAGGAACTCCGGAACGGCTACGTCCGGTTCTGTCAGGTACTTCCAGCCGGGCTTGTTCAATGGTATCTCGTGCCTAATCTGTGACTCTCACAGATCTCACAGCAATGGTTCTGCATGATACCTTGCCGAGTTCCCTGCACTTCTAGGCCTGAGACCGGGTCTATCTCGGGAACGTCCAAGGCCCGTTCTGACTCATTGAGCTGTTCTAGCAAAAGTTTTGTATTTGTGCCGAACCGCGGTGACAGAATGGGTTGCGTGGCCCGCAAGACCTGTGGTCGGAAGTGCTCCGCAAAAGGTGGCCATTGTGCCTGGCTCTGGGCATTTGGAGGAGGCAGCAATTCACCGCCTGACCGGGCGATTTCCCATTGTCGCCGAGCTCGGATGACAACATCATCCTGGTTTGGGGAAGCTGCAGCCTCGGAGTAGCGTGGATGGAGCAGAGGTAGCACTGGCAAGGGCTTGCTTGCTGCGTTGGGCTGTGGATTGTCTGGTTGGCAACGGGGAGATGTGCGCGCTTCACCCCAGGTACCCCAGTCCATCGTCGCATACAGCCTCAACATAGTGTGACTCTTCAAGATGTAAACAAGGAAGAAAAGCTGAAGGTAGCCAGAGCAATTGCGCTGAGAAGCTTCGTGGCCCAGAAAAAAGAAACAGCCTCCTCCACGTGCGAGAGGTTCGAAGACAAAGACCAGAAAGTGGAGTCTGCTGCCTCTCTCACACAGCCGTGCGCCTGCATGGTGGAACTGCAGCAGCAGGGGTTTGCAAAACCATTCATAGCCATTCGCTACTCAGCCCTCCATCTTCAGCTTCTCAGGAACACATGCCATCTCGGCTCGCTAGCACAATGATTCACAAAAAATCACTTGATAATATCATTCCAGTGTTGAAGAACCACTCTGGGAGGACATAGGCAAGCCATCGGCAATCCACTCCACGCGTCTGGGCACGCTCTATTCCTGATTCTTTGACCCAAGCACCTCAAGGCTTTCCTGAAGCACGGATCTGATTTTGGAATCAACAGCCGCCGGCGGCTGCCACACCGAGATAGTCCCATCACGTGCACCTCATGACGAAGCGGCCAGACCCCCCTGCAATGTCTGGCAATCTCTGACAGCAAGGGACGGCGCCTACGAGCAGTTGGCATGGGTCATGCCAGGCTGAACCTCGGTGTCTACTGCCTGTCTGCACAGAAACACAGAGGCCTATCATCAATGCAGCTGAGGTTCCCAAGCTGATGCAGTTGGCGTTAATACCTGCCTGCAAGCACTCAGCAGATGCTGCAAACAAGTCACACTTGCCAGGCCTGGTAAGACTGCTTTAGCAGGCAACGTGACCGGTGTTACAATGTGTTGCATGGGAGTGCTTTTCTTGTCAGATTGTGGAGCACGGTTTTTATGCAGGAGTTCTTTGGAACCCGTGCTGAGCTGGAAGCATGTGACTGGACCTCCTGCGCAGCGCACCCCCAGAAAATGTGGCATCTTAGTGGCACCTACGAAACATACCAAGGCAGCCACACTGGTGGTGAAGAGAGCATTAAAACTCCTGAAGACTGCTTGCCTGGTAGCACTGCTCGCCAGAGCTGAAGTCAACGACGCAGATTACTGACGTGGACTCCTTAACAACAAGATAGGGCCTGATGCCAGCCATGCATACAAACTGTAGCATCTTTGCTTGCCAGCCAACATGCTTAAACCCCACCACTCTTTTTGAATGTTTCTCTGGCTGGGCTTGTTGGTTGCCGTTTAATTACAGATGGATGCGATTCGCACCTAATGGCTGGCTGGGTCTCTGCTGCCGAGGCAGCACTGGATGCAGGCCACGTAGAGTGCAGCAGGTCGCTGCATGCATAGCCATCAGGTGCTGGGCCTCTGTACGATGCTGGGGAAATTGTCATGCTGGGTATGCTTCAAAAGCCCCACCGAGCAGCGCCTGCATCACTTCCAAAGTGCAAATCGATCGGCCCCAGCGGTCCCGGCGTGGATGTGCAAAAAATATATGAGCCTAGCAGCAGGGCCTAGCAAGGATCCACTTCTACATGCTAGTTCCGCATCAGGTATGAGCTTTGTGCATGAACACTCCAGGAGCCAAGGTGCCACTGCAATCCAAACAGATGGATGGGTGCAGCGGCAGCATCGGCGCAACCTTTACCAAAGGACACTCAATCCATCAGTGAGCGAGCTGGCCTTTAGCCGCGTAGGCTGAGGGGCTTGCCAGCAGTGATCTGAATACTGGACACGATTTCAGTAGCTCACCGCTCCACAGGTCGTACACCAAGATGATCGACCTGTGGTGCAAGCATCACTGTCGTGTTTCAGTGACTGTTCAACAGGCCTCACGTCGCTTGATGGCAGCACGGCTGCGGCTATAAGATACCTGAAGCCGGCCAAGGACAAGAGGCACATCACTTCTAAGCCCAAGAGATTCTGGGTTTGCCATTTTGCAGATCGGGCACAGCTGTGATGGATGCGCGCAAAGGTCCGTGAAGACTCCTCCAGCTGCCTGCAGAAGGGATATCCAAAATTGTGGGGGCACGGCACTGCAGAGCAGGGGGAGTGAGAAGAGGTTGCAAAGGTCTAGGAGCGAAGCCTGCTACACAATCGTCTATTAGACCGGCTTCGGATTCAGATATGGTCCAAACTCACCTACCTATTCGGTTGAAATGACCCTGCTTTCTTCATTCTCATCTCTTCACGCCTGGCAGACCGGAGCCAAAGCAAATTCAGCTTTCGGCGCTTTGGCGTAGGAGTTGCCCAGCGGGTATACTTCATGGAGAACCGCCTGGCGAAATTGCGCTCAAGCGGCGGAAACACGCTCCCGCCACACGAAAAAGAGACTGCACCGCACCTCCCATGGCTTTCGAAGCCTGCTGACAACGTAAAGGTTTTGGTCGTAGGCCCTTTGCGTCGCCGTCGGCCGCCGCACGAAAAACCTGCGTGGACATCCAGGATTCCAGTGGCCACGAAGCAAAGTACCCACTGCAATGAAGGAGTGCTTGTTGCTGACTGACGTCAGACTGCAAGGGTCACACCTTCGGATAATAACACTCAACATGCAGCCTAGCTGCGCTTGCTGGACCTTCTCATGTAAACGAGATGCACAGGGCTCGCCGTACTGTAGCCTGCACAATCAGGAGCGATCTATGTACCATCATTCTGGAATGTTGAGACACTTGGGGCTCTGACTGCAGCATCTGCGTGAGACTTGGGAACTCCAACATGTCCTTTTTTGAATTACTCTGCTCACAGGCGAACACATCCAAGCATGTGCGTTCTGTCTGCCTTGCTGGGTTGAGGCGATTGCTGAGGCCAGGGCCACACCACCATCAGAAAAGGATGCAACGACAAAGCTCCCGCAAGTCGAAATATCCAAGTGGCAGCACGACCTGGATAGGCAAAAAGGCATGCGCGGTGCGGCATCGACGTGCCATCAAGCTCCCGGCTGACAATGGTCTGACGGCTTAACTTCCAAACCAGGAAGCCCAACTCGTGAAGCCTTTGGCTAGCAGTCTCTGGGGCGCATTCCGTGCATTTCTCCAGCAGAACCCTCTCTTGCCTCAAAGGGGTCTCGAGCTGCGCGAGGCGTGCAACGCACAGTCCTCCAGGTAACTGCCTTCAAAAAGCGGCGTGCATCTCACATGCCGTCTGTGCCATGTTACGAGCTACTCTTTTCGGCTCGCCAGCAAGCTTTCCCTGCTGGAAGCTAGACTGAGCCTTCTGCGTCCTGCATGTTGCTAGAAGTACCATGACGAGCATCATGCTTGACTAGAACAAGGAAACTGAAGTCAGCGACGGTGTTTTTTGCTTGTCTCTTGCCCTTACGAATAGAGATTCACCCTTGCACGGCCCTTGCGCCACTGCCTGACTCTCAACATGGCATGAAAAATTGAGCTGTCGCATGTTCTGTTCCAGGCTGGCATGCCCTTGAACCTGTAGTCCTTGCAGGACGAAACACACGGTGCCTTATTGTGCTTGAAAAGGTATCTGGCGCCTCGAAATTGGCCTGAGAAAGTTAATGCGGGCGAGGCCACCCGGCATGGTGCGCAGTTAGCTTTGCTTTGTGAGCGTGCCTGCTTCTAAAGACACCTGAAAGCCCCACTTGGAGAGAAGCCTTTTCTTCGTTCTTCTTCTACTCCTAAACGCTCCTCTGGTAGGGTCTAGCCTCGGGTCTAGCCGTGCCATGCCCTGGAAGTACTACATTCGCAATAAACATGAAACCTCTTGAATGAAATCTATCCGAACTACACGAGAAGCCCCGGTGCAAAATGGCGGCAAAAAACCTGATAGGAGTCCACGGCGCCAAATGCAAACACGAGACGCATAATTCTCGTAGATTAAACGCCTCACACGTGACACGATATGCAGAACCCGTGACGAAAACGCTCCAACTCCCATTTTCCAACCTCAATTCTCCACCGCATCCACTCTCGGCGCTCCAGTGTCCACACCCCTCTCCACTCGCAACTCTAGCGTCCACTCTCTTTTCCATGTTCCACTCCACTTTCCTCTTCACTTTCCACACTCTATTCGACACTCTCCACTCTGCACACTCCACTCCATTCTCCACCACTGCTGTCCACTTCATTCCTCACTCTCCACTCTGGACTCTCCACTCTCGACTTACACTCGACTCTCCATTCCACTTGCCACTCCAAACTCCACATTCCACGCTTCACCCACACTTCACTGCACCACTTCCCCTCCACTGTCCATTCCCACCTTCCTCGCCAATTCCACTCCACGATCCGTTCCGGACACAAGCACTCAAAAGTGATGAATGACAGCTTGACACTCAGACACTCTTGATACGGCGACAAGAAAACAAGGCTCCAAAAGCGACGACAGTTAAGAGTATCGCGACGGCGACACGCCCCATCCACGTGACTGTCGAAACAAAAGTGACATTTGCAGGGATCGTGACCGTCGTGGGTCCGGCCGGTTGCTTACGAACACAAAAAAAGATATTGGGTCACCTCCTGGATCCCTGGACCGCAACCTTAACAACGGGAATTCTTCTGCGGAGCATTCGGGAGAAAAAACATGTGAGGGCAACTGCCAAAGCCCTGCGAGACTCAAGCTACATAGATACTTCCTGAAAAATCATGAATGGGATCTTGCAGAATTCCTGGCGAAAACCAAGCCTTCACACAAAACAAATGCACCCTTCGGAGCGAGGTATCTACTACACAGGCAGGGAGCGGTTCACTCCACTGAAGCATGCACACGGCGATCAGCGAGCACGTGACGGAACGTGGAAAGCAACACAAGGAGTAAAGTGGTGCTGCCAGGATTGTTGACTAAGTCCGCAATACTCGCAGTGACCAAAGCATGGCTGCAAAGAATACAAATCGTCAGGCTACGGCTCTGCAAGGCTACCAGAACTTCTGCCCGCATGTTGTAACGAGACCAGAGCAATGCCAGAGCAAGGTGAGCACTCCAAGTGCAGCTGGCCTGATCGGTCTGAGCCTCAGCCTGGCATGTTTGACTATGGCAAGTCTGGTAGCATCCGTATGCACATTGAATGATACATCGGTGATCAGGTCTGCATCCTTTCCCTTCAAAGACCTGACACTATTCAATGCCATCGATGGCGCTAGGCTATGCCTGCTGAGCGTTGCCAATAATGTCTGTCCGCATCTTTTGCATTGATGGCAAAGCTTTGATGCAAAGTCATGCATGTGACACACGGGGGCCGGTACCACCTCGATCTCTTCTAATGATCATGCAAGGCCCCCTCCCGACCGCATTGGCGCAAAGTCACCGATCGATGGCAGCTTCAGCAGCTTGAGCTTCCGCTGCTGCAGATGCGTCACGATCGTCACGCTTCTCCAGGGACAGATTGTAGCAGATCAGTCGGCTCCCGCTGTGCCTAAGCTGAACGGAATTCTGGGAGGTGCATCAGGTGCCTGCACATGATGCAGTTCCTTTCCGGACTCTTCAAATCGAAAGCATTCCGTTGATAACAGAATAGCGTAAAGTTTCGTCAGGGAGCAAGACAAAAAGTCGGTTTCGTGGCGCAGCTGCCATGCCCACAATAATGTTGCGAGGCCAGGGCATGCCTCGCTGGCCACCTTCAACTTCCTTGGGAGTCAAAACACAAAGATAAATCATCCAGGCATACCTTGCAGAGGAAGTGGCAAGGGGCGACACTCGCAACTCGAAGCGAAGTGAACCTCAGTATGAGCAAAGGTTTGCCTTCAACTTGTGGACCCTGACGTGATCACATCAATGTCTAGTGCATTCCGGAGACGTTTCCGTCGCATGACAGTAACGGCCCAGAGCATTCTTGCAGCAGAGTCCATCTTTGTCGACACAACCACCTCTAAGGATACGGCACAGCGGCAGCTGTCATTTGCAGCAAGTGCATGGCTGATGAGTCCACTTGGCCCGTTGCTGTGGACAGACCGGGCATGTAAACAGTGTGCGCAAAGGCCCCGTTAAACGGAAGCGAGTGCTTGCAACGCATACTGAGGCAGCCGTCCTCAGTTGCAGAGGCTAAAATACATCGTTTCAGAAGCTCTCAAAGCAGCATGCACCAAGCGGGACTTGAATCGCAAACGGAACCTGCTTAGCCTTGAACTTCAGCCTCATTGGCTGACGCATCAAAAAAAATGCTAAGCATCAAAAAGTAATTTGATTCAAAAAATCAAGAAGAGATTTGAATCTT